CACCCACCAGCTCAATTGAAATTAGAGAAGATTGCAGATTTTGATGTTCAATGCAATATTTAGCAGTGCATGTCCAATTATTGCCAACAAAAAACATACCTTTCTAGCATTGGAGGATATTGTATTTGCCATTAAACTTTCCAAATAACTGCTCAGGCTAACTCCTTTTACCGTAATAATTGCTTCTTGTGTCAGTACAGTCCTACAAAGGAAAAATAAGTATTGATATAGAAAGGAAATAGTATATACTCCCCCACAAACAAGTAAATCCACAAACAACTCTACTTACTTTTCAGGGTTTTCTGGATGAGGTCTGTAGACCAATCTTTCATCAACCGACACCAAGTTTGTGAGGGTAATCTTAAAAATAAAAGCAAGAACCTAAATACTCAGTTTGCCTTCCTCTATCAGCTTTCTCCTCCAACAGTTCAGAAGCACTGCCTGATTACCCTTAACAGCAGAAACAGGACAGTCAAATCATTCCAACTGCAGAATAACAGCATTATCACTTATGGCAATTCTTCTTACCCCCATGGAAATGCAATGACAGTCAAGTCAATTTTGCCTCTCATAATCCATAGAGTGGGCAGTTCAGTAGCACTGCTGAGTGTTGAGCCTATGAACTGCAGCATGCGAGTAGCAGAAAGGTTCTGCAGGAAAGTAAGTATCACTACCATTTCCAAGAACATGGAGAAGTGTGGGTTTATTGCAGAAGGACAAGGCTTTCTTAAGGACCACATTATTTAAACCAGACTTAAGGTTGCAGAATATTATAACAAAGCAAAACAGGCAGCTAATACATTGTGCAGGTTCATAACAAGTTGCTGGTGCTGTTTAACATACATTAGCAAAAGAAACCTTACTAATCAGATCACTTTTTACTAAGTTGTTTCATTTCCATATTCTCAGATATTTTCATGAAATGTATAATCATGTAAAAAGTTCTCTTATCTAAGTTATCTACTCCTGCAATGAACAAAGCCAATAGTGAAAAGCGCATTCAGGAAATGTAAGTTTTTGCCTTATCCAGTTCCCAATGAAAACATCTGTCTTGACAAACTTGTTTTCATTCATAGCTATTTCTGAAACCCTTCATACTGGTATGAGGCACAAGTTCCACTCCCAACAGTCATTATCAAAAGCTTCCTGATCTCAGTGTCACTTACATTGGAGGAGCAGAGTTCCATCTTCTTTTCCACTGGATCTACTACAGAATGTTCTTTGATGTATGTCAAAGTCCTATTTGTTCCCAAAATCTAGAAGGCAAGACAGATTTTCATATTTAAAGAGTCAATATAAGGAACCATAAAAACATTCTGATCTTCCACAGTGTCATTACACAGTAATTTGTGAGCAACTGAACACCCTTATCAAGAGCAACACCCCATCATGCCAGGTGCTTAAACCATGAAAGATTTCATAGTCCAGCATGGGAAAATACTATAATCTTAAAAGCGATTAATAAGCCCACAGACACTGCAATATATATAAGCCCACAGACACTCTTGGCAAGAGATGTGCTGATTACACCTTAAAATTTCTGGAAACAAGCTCTCCTATAAAGTAAGTTTTTATTTTCAATCCAGGATCCAGATGACAATGTGTTTAGATGATACTACATCAGTAAACTGTTCAATGTAACAATTACCTACCGCTTTTACAATACTTGGCAGTCCCCATTCTGTGCTGAGGAGGCGATGACTATGTAACCTTCCCTGGTTGTCAAGGCTTCTGTCTAGCACATCTACTCCTACTACACATGGATTCATGGGATTGGGGTATTTTCTCATAGCAGCTTTGATTACAGTATCCCATGGGTGTCTAGAAAAAAACAGAAACAGAATACATAACTATTTATACACTTCATTATAAAATATGCAAAGATAAATTAGTAGCATGGACTCATCTGGAGTATTCTGAACAGTGCGGGTCACCTTGTCTCAAGAAAAATATTGTAGAATTTAAAGGGGAACTCAGAGACAACAAGGAAAGAAACAATAGGAACACACTTTTTAGGCAGGGGGGGGCCGGGGTGAACTAAAACCATTAGAACAGTTTAAAGAAAAGACAAGACACACCCCAATCAGAAATCTAACATAAATATATTCAAAATATGGACTTAATAAGAGACATTCAAAAGAACAAAAGCTACCAATTGCTCTCATAGCGCATGAGCCGAATTACATTAAATTAAATTAAAGTATGGCACATTCAATTCAGATAAACAGGAATTGTTTCATTTCTACAGGTCAGCAACAGAACTCAGTACCACAGGATGTCACTAAGGTAGAAAGCCTAAGCTGCAAAAGAGGATCTCTAATTGTAGCAGTAACAGGCTCACTCAGAGTTGTAGTTAACATTACAAAGTTTCAGAGCTGTCCCTATTTCATGCTTTAAAATATAAGCAAAAAATCACCAACTACTGGTTATTTGAAAAATACACAGTCTGGGGTCAAATTATCCCATATCTACCTTCCGTGACGTTTCCTGGATCTTCCTTCAATACATCAGGTGCTGAGCCTCTTTCCAAGACAGGATACTGGAGCAGATGGACTAGAATCTAACCCAGCATCAAAAGTCTTGCCTTCTTAAATAATGCAGTGTAGGGTAAAAGGGTTCCTGACATTATATTATATGTATAATGTAATATTCCTTATATACACGATACATCAGGGTCCAGCAACATTTTACGAGCCATGGGCTGGAACAATCTAGCTCCAGTCCGACGCAGGCCAAGTGGCTTTATTACAGGGGTGCGCAAAATATGGCCCAGGGTCTTTGATGACACATCTATTCAGTGCAGGTCAGCATCATGCAGACCCCCCAAGCTAGCTCTGGAACCAGTATAGCCTCAACAGTGTAGTTTTATAAGACCACTTGGTCTTTCTAATGATTTCAAAGCATGGATACACTTACTGTTTCTTTAAAAAAATCTCAAGTTGGATCACCATGCAGGACGGGGCTCTATAACACACCAGACTGAACTATAAATCAAGTGAACTTTTCCACATGCTTCCAAATAGGAGCAGCAAATAAGTGATAATGCTGTCCTCCTGTTCCAGCTGAAGACTACCTCTAAAAAAGATTCTCTTTTTCTACCAATCCCAGTTTGCTCACCAATAAGGAGCCCACATCAACAGGTGCTTGTTCTCTTCAGAGATTATACAACATAAGGCAAACAGAAAATGCCTGAAGGTAACTAACAAGGACAAGTCAAAGTCTGACTGTCCTTGAAGACTTAAGCAGCCAAGGGCCTAACATGTTCAAGTCAAGTTCCACGTACCTGAGCTGATCTAGTTACACTTGCATCCGTAGAAGTACATGTTTCAAAGGCCTCTGAAGTGATCTCTCTTTTTGTCACTTAGCCTTTTCATGCAGTATCAAGACACACCTTTATGTTCCAGCAGGTGGCAGATTTTCAAAGCAAGCCCCACAGTTACTCAAACAGAAGCTGTGCCACAACAGAAAGCTTCGTTACCACCTGCCTTTAATTTCACATTAGAAGATACATCAGATTTCAGTGCCAGAAACCTTGAGGCTGGGCAGTTGCCATATACCAGGGGCGGGCAAAGTCCACCCTGCAGCTGGATCAGGCAGGCAGCAGATTGCAGCTCTGTCCTGGCTCCAGACCACGATGTCACCATCATGAGACACGCCAGGCCTGGCCTCAGAGCAGCTCCCTGCCCAGCCGCATGCCCTGCCAGCACTGCTGGGGCCGGTCTCCATGGAAACCCGGGCCCTGTCACTGCTGGGGTCTCCATGGAAACTGGCTGCAGCGACCCTGGCAAGGACTGCTGGGAAATGGATTTCGCCCACCAGCCAGATCTGCTATTTTGCCCACCCCTGGTTTTAACCTCCTGAGACTCAAGGCACCCACAGGAAAATGCCAGCTTAGTTTTTACTCTGTTATTTTCCTATAGTGCAGAAACGAAGCCATTGATCTGTGGCAACAAACTCAGAGAGAGACTGCCAGGGGTCAGGCTGTTTTTGACCCTCTGGGTTTATGTGGCCAATCACAGAAAATGAGGATTGGAAGGGACCTCAGAAGGACATCTAGTCCACCCCCCTGCTCCAAGCAGGACCATCCGCAACCAGATCATCCCAGCCAGGGCTCTGTCTAGCCGGGTCTGAAAAACCTCCAAGGATGGAGATAGCACCTGGTCTCTGGGAAGCCTGTTCCAATGCCTCACCACCCTCCTAGTCAGAAAGTGTTTCCCAATATCCAGCCTAACCCGCCCTTGCTGCAACCTGAGACGGTTGCTCCTTGTTCTGTCACCTGCCACCACCGAGACCCGTCTGGCTCCATCCCCCCTCACCAGAACCAGGCGCGGGGCTAGACCCATGAGGCGCCCCTTGATCCAGCTCCAAGGCTTCGTCCCGCGCCCGCTGAGCGGGGGACCCCGACCCTGGCCCCGGCTCCGGCCGGCTGGGAGCAGAGGGGCGGGGCATTGCGAGCGCCGACCAATGGGAGCGAACCCCCAGTACTCTCCCGGTGCGTCACGCCGGCTTTGCCCCCTCACCCCGAGTGCGTCACTGCAGCGCCCCCTCCCCCGCGCGCCGCCTCCTGTGACTCCGCGTGGCTCTCTTCGCGTCACTCGCCCCCCCCCGCCCGCGCATTCCGGCGTTACGTGACAGTGCGTCGACGTAACGCAGCCCGGGCCGCTCTCTGGGTGCCCCTTCGGGTTGTGGAGCCCGTGCTCCGCACTGTGGCTGCAGACGGAGCCGGCTGTGACCGCCCCGGGACTCTCGCCGCTGCTGCCAAGCCTCGCAGCTTGTTCCTTGTTCCCCGTTCCCTTCGCAAAACCCGCTTCGTGCAGCGAGAGGCTGTGGATCCTCCATGAGCCCCGCTGCTTATCCGAGGCCGTGTCCCCGAGACCTCATGTCCTCTTACGTCGTCGCGAGTCAGGAGACGTGTGATTAAATTCTGACCGGCCCTCGTATAAAGCCCAGCACCGGGAATAAGGAACACGCTTCAGGCTGAGTACAGGGGTGGGTCCAGGCGGGGCAGCGTAGGGCCCCGCCTTTCCTGCTCCACCCCACTTCAAAGACAGCTGTCTGGCACAGCGGCTTCGGAGGGTTTTTGCCTAATTTATGGGATTAAAACTGTATGTCTAATCCAGCAAATCCCTGCGCGCTCTGATAGTTGCATTTGTTTCTGCTTGCGCCTTCAGAACAGAGGCCCCCATTGTTAGAACAGCTCCTGGTTTAACTAGAAACAAAAACGTGCACCGTGCTGTATGCGATGATGCACCTCACCATGTCCCCTCCTTTTCAAAACCCTGCATCTGCCCATGGCTGAGTGTGGCCCATTCCTGATGTTCAAATATCCAAGTTAGGGACAAGTCTGTACCATTAGCTTACAAAGTATGAGGGGGGTTTTTAATAATCATTTTGGGGGTCTTTTAATTTCATCCCCTGGTTTTCAAGAGGCAGCAGCTAGCCCCAGCCCTCCCAAGTCAGGCAGGAGGCAGGGTAGAGATGTACCTCATAGACTAAGACCTATGGAAAACACAAGTCTGGATGAGCTTGCTTCATTAGACACCCTGAAAGGCCACCACAGAGCAGTATATGAGGTGGCATGAGTGACTTGAATACAAAAGAGGTACACAACAAGCATCTTTCCCTTCTTTTCCCTGACTTTTGTGTTCAAATTGCTCACACCACTGTATACATGACTCTGTGCTGTCCTTCTACAGCATGAAAGCTGGCACTCTCTGTAGGGTCTTATTTAGTTTATAAGGTGCATCACGATCAGGGGGTCCTGGTCCTCCAGACAAGCTGCACTAGAGGAGCTGCAATAAAGGCTGGACAGTGCCTGGGGGGAGCCAGATTACAACCCACTCTAGGGCTGTGCATGTGCAGTCCTCCCATAGCATCTGAGGAACCAAACTTGTGAAAGCAGGTGTTCTCTATAGAGCAGTGGTCACCAACCACTCCGCGCCTCTTGGAGTTGATCCGAGGCTAGGGTGGGGGGCTGAATGCATGCATGCACACAAGCACCGCAGGTCAGTCCATGGGGGAGGGAAGGGGTGATGGTCAGTGTCGCAGAGGCAGGAGCAGGGGTCAGTTAAGTGGGGCCTGGGCAGGGTGGGACTTACCTGCTGGGGAGGTGCACCCCTAAATAATTTTTTCTGCCTCAATCTGCAACCCCCTTCCATCCCCTTGGATTTATTTGTTGAGGGGGGACAGTGCTGCACAGTTGATCTTGGGTTGCTTTTAAATGCCAAAGGTGATCTCCTACTTAAAAAGGTTGGAGACCACTGTTGTAGAGCTTATTTAGTTAGTCTATCATATGAATGGGGATGGGGAAGTCCTGGTCCTCCACAGAGGCAAGTCCAAACCGCACAGAGGCAGCACACGTGCTGTCCTTCCACAGCATCTGAGGAAGTGAACTCATGCAAACTGGGACTCTCTATAGGTCTATTTAGTTAGTCTAAAAGGTGCATCTCTACCTTGCTGCCTTCTACCCAGTGTGGAATCATGGAGCCCTGGTCCTCAACCCACTAGACAGGTTGTACTAGTAGGACTGTAAGAAAGGCTGGGAAGTCCCTGGCGGGGTGGAGGGGGACGAGCCAGATTACACCCGGCTAGGACTGCATGTGAGCTATCCTTCCTCAGCATCTAAATGAGCTAACTCATGCAAATGGGTGTGCTCTCTAGGTCTAGTCCTTTAGTCTATAAGGTTTATCTCTCCCCTGCCAACCTCTGTGGGGTCATCAAGGAGTCCTGCTCCTCCCCACCCCCAGGCAGGCTGCACTGGGGGCAGCCACATGACAACACACACTAAGGCGGCACGTGTCTGTCTCCCCCACTCAGCTGGTATGAATTTTCCAGCCACTGTGAGCTGGCCTTCAAACGCAGGTCGAGCTCCTCATGTGGTCACTAGGACCCCAAATCCTGCCAGATTTGCCCTAACACGTGCTGCAGCTGGCACCCACAGCTTGAGTCACCCTGACTCAGGGCACACACGCACCCCCCTCTTATCACAGTCCCACTGACGCAGCCTCCTACAGCCCGCGCCGGCCCGGGCTAGTAAACAAGTGTGTACGCAGGTAAAAGGGAAAAGGGCGGGCCTGGACGCTGCCAGGTGAAGAGTAGGCGGTTCCTAGGCAGTGAGGGCGGGGCCTCTGCTGGAGAGGCGAGGTTGGGGGCGCCGGATTGGAGGAAATGGGACCTGAGTGGCGGAGTTCGGAAGAGGCGGGGCTAAACCCGGAAGAAGGCGGAATCTCTTCTTTCCCCTCCCCTCTCCGCCCGGGACGTGCTGACGTCAGACGCCGCGGCGTGGGCGTAGCTTGGCGCGTGCGCGATCTGCGTATCGCGGAGTCTCGCGGCGCCTGGACAGGGAGGCGGCCGTTGGGCCATGGCGCTGCGTTACCTGCTGCTGCTGTCGCGCAGCTGTTCGCGGCGCCGGGGCTTGGCGGGGCCCGGGCTCTGTCTGACGCGCGTGAGTCACCCCCGCGCGCGGGGTTTGCCATAGCGACCCTGGCGTGAGGGCTGGGGCCTCCTGGGGGGCGGGGCTTCTATGCCTATCCGCACTGAAGCCGCGCCTGGCACCAGGGCCCCGGGGTCTGGGGAGGTGGAGTCCAAGAGGCCGGGGTCGCAGAGTGCCAGCTTGTTTTGGGCCTGGCTGGCTGGCGAGCAACTCCCTTGGGTCCTCTGCACAAGGCGTTATTCCTCCTGCTGCTTCGCAGGCCTTGGCAACACGTTACATGTACTGTGCAGTCGATGTAAACTGCCTGCAAGGGCTGGGCAACGATCGCGCCCTTAACTGGCAAACTGCGTTGTCAGTTTAGACCGGCCGCGAGTGCCGAGTCATGGCGGCATGGTTAACTGGGCAGTCGCGCAATAAGTGTACACCGGCCCCCCATGTGTAGTAAAGTGCCAAGTAATGGTCATGTGATTAGCTGGGGAATCATGTAATAAATGCATACTGGCTACCTGTGTATAGTAAAACCAGGCACAGGTGCCAAGTTGTGGTCATGCAATTAACTGGGGAATTGCACAATAAATGTACACTGGCCACCCGCGTGTAGTAAAGAGCCAAGTAACAGTCATATGATTAACTGGGATCATGCAATAAATGTAGACCAGCCACCTGTGTGAAGTAAGACCAGCCCCAAGTGCGAAGTAACGGTCGCGTTATTAATTGAAGAATCGCACAATACATGTACACCGGCCACCCATGTGTAGTCACATTGGCCACAAGTGCCAAGTAATGCTTATGTGATTAACTGTGGAATCGTGCAATAAATGTACACTGGCCATCCACACAGTAAAACTGATCACAAGTGTGAAGTAACGATCGCACAATTAACAGGTGAATCTTGCAATAAATTTGGACCGGCCACCCCTGCGCAGTAAAACTGGCCTCAAGTACCAAGTAAAGATTACGCGATTAGCTGGAGAATCGCAGGGTAGATGTACACAGGCCACCTGCATGTAGTAAGATCAGCCACAAGTGCCAAGTAATCATCACACAATTACCGGTGAATCGTGCAATGAATTTAAATTGGCCCCACGTGCAAAATAATTATTGTGTGATAAATGTGACAGTCCAGCTTTAAAAATAGACAACCAGCTATAAAGTTAGTGCCTGAAACTAACAACTCTAGATCTGGTGTCTAGCCAGCTTTCATGTGAGCATGTTGCCAGGCCCTTAGCATTGGTCATGTTTTAT